CCCCCCCCCACCTTTACCATGTTTTGAGTGGTTTTTCCATGTTTTTGATGTCTCATTTTTAATCCTTTGCTTTATCCTCAATTCCTGATACCCTGTTTCCTACTTCAATTGTTAATTGCTTAGGCTTTCAATTGTGCTTTGATAGGGAGATAGAACTTTTCATGTTTCTCAGCTCTTTATTGATTCTAATATCTTTTCATGTCTCTCGGCTCTTTATTGATTACAATAACAGAAACCCTTGAGGGTTTTTTTGTTTTTTACATACAAACAAGGCTCCCCTTCCTACAAAACAATGCTACTCCTCTACCTAGAGAATTTCAAATTGTCTTGATTATTAAAGTCTATTCTATGGGGACCTCCCCAACTTTTGATCTTCTATCTCTTTTCTTTCCCCATATTTTCATGTATCCTTATAGCAACACTTACTGCATCATACTAATAAATACACATTTGTGTTCATGATTATGTTTATATATATCTTGTTTTTTGAATATTTGTATCTTTCATTTTTCTTAGATTCTCAAATTCTTATCTGAATTTCATCTTTTCTTAATCTCCATAGTCATCATATCATTGCCATAGAGTTTGTATCAATAAAAGTAGTACATATTTTTATGTCACTATTAACTTTCTTCAAACACTAAGTCAACTCTTTACCCTCATGATATATATATATATATATATATATATATATATATATGTATGTATGTATGTATATATATATATGCTAAAATATGGCTTGTATTATACTCACAGGAGAAGTTAGGTTAAACCATTGTTTTAAGGTCAACAACTAATAACCATGTCTTTTTTAGTTTAGCTAATATATATGTATTTAGCTAAAGTAATTTTGTGACTAGGTACTTCTTTTTCTGAGTTTATTATAAATGGGAAAAATAAGAGTTTAATTATGTAGTTACATAGTAAAAGAGTAACTGTAAAAAATACTTACTTTCCATTTTTCTCAATACAAAATAAACCAGAAAACACTACAGTAGCATACTCATTAAAATTAACAAGAAGATTCAAAGATAAAGAAAATTTTCATTGTACTTTGTCTAAGAAATGTGATCCCTGTGGCCCTTTCTAGGGAAAAAGATGTTTCCAATTAAGGATGCAGCCCTAAATTAGGAATGTTACTGTGACACAGGAGTAATAGGGGCACAGGACAATAGATAGGAAAGATGTTTTCACTTTGTGCTATAAGGAAAGTGCATAGCTTCCAAGTGACCTTACACTCCATCCACAACAAAGTTTAACTGAGTGATACAATATTCTTTGTGTCTTTCCATGTCACATTTTGCCTTTCCCTATCCTTACTCAACCTGTCTAAATTTTCTATCTAGTCTCATCTTTGTAAGTTTCCAGTACTCCCAATGGTTAGCACTTACTACATAGAAGACTCTTTGGTTTTTTTAATTGAATGTACTAAATCAATTTAGTGCTTATCTGTTATTCCAATAAGGTTATAAAAGTACAGACTGATAATGAAAGCAGATTTAGAGGAAAGCATATGATGATGCATGAAATAATTAAAGTAGTCAGATAATGGATTTAGGAAGTGTGATGAGTCACAACTATGCTGTTTTAAATACAAAAGCAGTATAAAAGTGACCAAGTTCTGGTGCCCTAAAAAAGCAAGGCCAAGTAAAACTCCTAAGTTGGGCTGTTTGGGAATGTGTTGGGAGAAAGTAGCAAATGGGGAGCACTTCATGGGTTCAGGACATAGTCAGCTTAGAATGGTGGGACATTTCAAAGTGACTATGGCCTGTGAATACCTACCACCCCATTTCTGCTGGAAACATAGAGATTGAAAAGCATCTTGTGGTAATTTGATTTGGAGAATGAAAAAAATGGTTAGAAAATTATGGCATAAACAGGGCACTGATGGTTCACGCCTGTAATCCTAGCTACTCAGGAGGCTGAGATCTGAAGATCACAGTTCAAAGCCAACCCAGGCAAAGAAAGTCCATGAGACTCTTTACTCCAATTATCCACCAGAGAACCAGAAGTGGCTCTGTGACTCAAGTGGTAGAGCATTTGCCTTGAGCTGAAGAGCTCAGAAACAGCATCCAGGCTCAGAGTTGAAGCCCCATGACTGACAAAACAAAAATAAAAAGAAAGAAAGAAAGAAAGAAAGAAAGAAAGAAAGAAAGAAAGAAAGAAAGAAAGAAAGAAAGAAAGAAAGAAAGAAAGAAAATGATGGCATAAACATCATTATTAAAGAGCATCATATATTTGTGGGAGAGAATATGGTTCCTCTTAACAAAAAGCTGAACAGAGAAAAAAATGTGAATTTGATTTTAAACTTACTTAAGCTTGACATGATAATAAGAAATCTAAGTTAGACTTAAAGAATTGGAATTATGCTGGGAATGTGGCTTAGTGGTAGAATGCTTACCTTGCATGCAAGAAGCCCTGGGTTTGATTCCTCAGTACCACAGCCAATAGTGGCACTGTGGCTCAAGAGGTAGAGTGCTATTCTTGAGCAAAAGAAGCTAGGGAATAGTTCCTGGGCCCTGACTGAGTTCAAGTGCCAGGTTTGGCCAAAAAAAAAAAAAGAATGTTAGAAATGTATAACTTAAAGGAAGGACCAAAGGTAGGCACTATATCCCATGCCTGTCATCCAAGGGACAAGGAAAGCAGAGGTAAAAAGGACTAAGGCTTCAGATCATCCTAAGATAAAATCTACAGTACTCTTATCTTAGCAACAGCTGTGAATTGGTGGTACATGCCCATCAGCTCAGCTATTAAAACAAGCATAAAGTAAAAGGACTGAGGTCCAGGCATCGACTGGGCAAAAAGTGAGTCCCTATTTCAAAAATAACCAGTGCAAAAAAAAAAAAAAACATTGCTGGAGGTAGGGTAGAGCAGCTGAACAGCCAACAGGAAACCCTGAGTTCAAACCTCATTACTACCAAAATCTGATTTTGTTTTCACCAAACGCATTATCTAGGTTAATACATTTCAAGATGTAACCTGAAGCACAAGGCTAGAGAATTAAAATTGTTTTCTGTCTTGTAGCAAGCCTGATGAACCAGAATCTGAGGTTGGTATCCAGAAATCTGCATTTTGTACAATCTTACCAAGAGATTCTTAAGCACACTGAAGTTTGTGAATCAGTGACCCAGAGCACAATCACACAACCCTAGGAACATTTCTTAAATCTTTTTTTTTTCCATTGATGCTTATCATGTGCCTTGATTCAGTCTGCAGCTTCAGGCTTTTCTTGGCTTCACTGAGCATAAAAAGCCTTCTTGAGCTCCCAAATTCTTTTCCCTATTTCTACTGCAGTCCTCCCTTAGAGAGATTACTCAGTAAGGCATTTTAGTTAATGTATTCCCGGTAGACTTGGATAAATCAACTAGCCCATTCAAAACATTTGCCCTCTTTAAGTATCAGAGTTTTAAGGATTGGTGGTGTTTTATGACTCTTTATCCTTTTCTATAAGCTTCATCTTTATTAAAACTAATTCTATATTCATTTAGATTTTCTCCATTGACAATAGTCAGAAGAGGAACAAAAGTGAGCTGGTATTCAGTAACATGTATTATCACAAACAATGAGAAGTCTTCCCAGTTAGAATAAGTTTGCCTTCCTTTGGATGGAGGCAATATGTTTAATGACCTTATTTACACAGATACACACACACACAAACAACTTTGTTTAGGGTCTATTAAGCCTCATGCTAAACTAGCAGGGCCATGTTTAAAGATAATAATGGTTTTTTTGTCTCTAGTCATTATGGTAAATCATTAAAAAGTGTATAATAGGGGAAAAAGGAACACTTAAATTCATTTTTTTAAAGGTCATCAAAATGTGTGAAACTATTCTCACCAAGAGAGGGCTTTAGGGTTTTTACAAAATCTAAGTCTCTTTTCTTTCCCTCCAATCAAATATAGATATTCTCTTGAAGATTAAAACACTTTTTGAAATCACACAGGGGGAAACTAAAGGGCAGTATTAAAATCACACATTGAGCTCTGCCAGCAAATAATGTTAAGGGTTATTTTCTCACATCTATACCCTCTAGCAAGATCAGAAACAAAGTTATATATTCCCAAATGGAATCAGGTAGCTACAGTATCTTGCATGTGGAACTAATGAGGCTGAGGTCAGGGTTCAGTTGCTATACAAGCTGATTAGTGTGAGGAGAGTGATGGCCTAGCCAACCTGGCCTTGCAGAGCATTATGATCACCTGGAGTGTTCTACTGTGTTTCTTCTCTTTTCTTTTCTTTTCTTTCCTTTTCTATGTTTGGTTCTATCATAAGCTTCTCAACCTTATTTCAAATCAACCAAATCAAAATTTCTGGAATAGAAAAAAGAAGCTCTACTTTTGAAGAAATTCCCAGGTAATTCATAAACCAGTCAAGATTTTGACATCAATAACCTCCTAGGAACCAGCTCAAACAAGAAGTATGCTCAGCATGACTCCTTCCTGGTCTTCAAAACTGGAAACCACAAATTCGACACTTTATCTGTTAAGAACACTCCAAATCTCCAGGGAATTTGTCCTCCACCCCCTCACCCCCCATGGATTGGAATTCTTTGTAGAGGCCATGAATTCAAGTAAATTTCCATTCTTAATGGCAAATAGCAGACCTGCCCTCTTAAGAATAGCCCTTCTACAAGCTTCCTTTCCAGCATGCTTCACTGGACATTTAAAAAAGCAACAAGAACCAAAGGGGGGTGGGGGGGAAGAAACATTAGTAGAACTTACCTTCCCCCACAGAAACTAAAAAATCTTTTGTCCTAAGAAATGGGCACTGATTGCAAATACTACACAGAACACAGTGGCTATTCACTGTAAACTTACCCAGTCTGCATCTGGAGAAATGTGATGGAGTACCTTCTCTGGAGAAATCAGGTTTCTCATGGCTGAGGAAAGCATTTTTGAAGACAAAAATCAGTCCCTGGATAATATCAGAAAAAACAACCCAAGATTGGTCATGATGAATTATGAAGTCATATTGCATGATAAATCTGTATCTCTACTTAGAAACATTGGCTAGAAAGGAGGATTTGGAGGCAGTGTGCACAGCAAGTAGGAGAGAAGAAAAACTTGAAAAACTGGTAAGTGAAGTCAAAACAAGGTATCAACAAAGCATATCATTTAATTTTACATTTCAACCAGCTGTGCTGGTATCAAATGTATACAATCTGACTGCATTTGCTGTTTTTCAGTCAGATATACCAAATAGCTCTCTGAGTTAAACACAAAAGCCATGAAATACTTTTTAATGGACAAAATTGAACTTCCCTTTTCCCTCATCTTTTAAAGTTTAGAGTAAAGCACACTCAAATATTTTCTCCCACCATCAGAATTTGACATTAGCTTCATTTCTGTCAAAAACTGGGTGTGCAAACTCCTCAGCCACAGAACCCTGAGTGCCAACCCAAGTGACTCAGAATCACTTCCATAAATGCAAATACCGCACTCATTTCCACTGTCACAGATTCCAGAATTCAGAATCCAAAGCCAAGGGATTCTGTATTTACATATTTTGACAACAGTTAGTTGACAACATGTATCTATTATCCCATTTGTTACATTTGGGGATAATGTTTTAGAAGATAGAATTCTCTCACTATCTCCTAGAATGCACATGCTCTCAACATGGAATGGTTCTAGATAGGAAACTGGGATAATGCACTACAGTTAGCTTTGCTTCTTAAGAGTCAACACCGATGGTTGCCGACCTCAGATGGTTCTTCTTCAACTTCACACGGGGACAAAAGTAAGTCTATAATATGCTCTGTTTACTGCTTCCATGTAGTATTTACTACAATTTATGAGACATTCAATATTGTATTTCAAATTAGACTTCCTTTTAGAAGACTTTGCCTAACTGTAGGTTAATGGAAGTGTCCTGAAGTTATTAAAGATAAATTAAGCTTGGGCTGGGAATATGGTTCAGTGAGAGCATATTCCTAGCATGTATAAGGCCCTGGCTTCAATCCCCATCACCATCAAAAATAAACAAATTGTATTAGGCTATGATGTTACTTGTATTTAATGCATTTTCAACTTGTGCCTATTTATCATTTAGAATGAATTTATAGAGAAATGACTCCATGGTAAGTCAAATGATCTTTAAAATCACATCTTAAAGCAATGTCCTTGTACTGGGGAAGAGGTAGAGAGGCAGGAGACTCATGAGCTCCAGAGCAGCCTAGGTTACACAGACAGACTTTGTCAAAAGGAAGGGTAAGGGAGGGAAGGGAAGGGAAGGGAAGAGTAGGTAAGGGAAGGTGAGGGGAGAGAGGAGATGGGAAGAGAAGCAAAGGGAAGGAAGGACAAAAACAAAGAGAGAGAGAAAACTCCAAAGTAAAACATAATGTCCTTCCCTAAAGAATATTAATATGAAAGAGGTTTCTTCTCTGTTATTAGAGCAACATGATGGCATAAATAACCTCTTTCCTGAGTTCATCAGGGTCCTTGACTACAAAGGGAGAAGCTCAGGTACATTTTGAGACAGCCCGTCAAACTGTCTTACAAAGAAGAGGAAACTGTGGGCAGATGAAAGTTCTGCTTATAAAGTAGATGTTGCTACAGCGCATTGCGGTTACATTATGTGTGCCCAAAGGATAAAGAATTCAGGTGAGAAGTGGTATGGCAAGAGTTGCAAATTAAATAAGCTCTGCACTAGGGATTTTTCCTTTGGTGTGTCGCAGTAACATGCCCATAGCTCCAGGGAACTTCATGATTAAGTTGGAATGAAGCACTCATGCCTCATGTTAAATGTAGCAGAAGAGAAGTTATTAAATATTTGTCAGTTAATTACCTGAGATACGCCCTTTTTTCACAGCTTTGGTTTCAGGTATGTGGGAGAGTTGAAAACATTTAATTGCACCTAATTTGTTGCTGTAGTCTAATCATAGCCTATGCATTGTGCTGAAGTCTGTAACCTGTGTGAAGAATTTGTAAGGGACCTCATTGTGACAACTCTAGAGGAAGAGAGTTGTGTGTGTGTGTGTGTGTGTGTGTGTGTGTGTGTGTGTTTTACTTTGTGAAATAATCATATCTAATCCTTGAGCTACTTTTTTTGAACTTGTAGAAATTATGACCTGAGAAATATATATAGTAAATCTTAGTACAATTTGGGAAATCCTTCCTACTGCTCCAAGTCCTTTCTTAATTAAATGTAGCTATTTTCCTGGCTCTCACCAACCCTTAGCATAGATCCTGAGAAAAATCCCTTTCTAGAGAGAAGCTAAAAGAGATTGAGGGCAAACATTCCTTTGTATGTGGCCCATTTGTAGGTCTGTTTGTTACCTTCAATTACCTGAGGTCTGACCACTTCTAATCTTGCTGTATTCTCTTCCCTCTGTCCTGCTCTTCCTCCTCCTTCTTTTCTTTTTATTTCTTCCTTCTTTTCCCCTCCTCTGCCTCTCCCTTCTCCTTTTAAAAGTTCCTGTACTGGGGCTTGAATTCAGGTCTCTTGCTAAGCTTTTTCACTCATAGCTGGCACTCTACCACTTGAGCCACATCTCTAGTGCCTGCCTTTTACTGGCTAGTTAAAGGATAAGAGATTAATTTAAGGGTGAGATTGGGACAGATATGAGGAGAATTATAATAGGGGTGACATTGATAAAATTGTATTAATAATGATAATAATGAACATAAACTGACATGTTGAATTGAAACTCTTTTGCACATCTACTTAGGGATAACAAAAAGTATTTTTTAACTTAAAGAATGAACTTCCCTTTGGGTATGAAGGCAACAGGGAAATGCACAGAAATAAACAGATGTGAGTGGCCATCATCTACAATTGGTGAGAAACAACACATTCAATCCTGGAATGTCAAATTTGCTCCTCTTCACCCTGATAACTCACATTCCTATTTCCAGGTGCATCACAAATATCTCCTTGCTCAGAAGCCTTCAAGGCCACCTTCTTTGCCCTGAAACTAAGAGGTGTTTATTTACATTACTTTTACGAAGACCTCACCATCATCTACAAACAGTAGAGTCATTTCCTACCTCTTCTCTTCTGTCTTTTTTCTTCTCTCCTCTCTTCTCTTTTCCATCTCCTTCTCTCTTAGAATCTCTTTGATGTAGAATATTTGAGATAAGTTTTTGTTTTTTCTATCTCTAGATCCTTAGCCACACACTCCAGACACTGAACAAATATTTTCTTTTCCTCCTCCTTTCTCTTCTCTCCCATTTTCTTAAATTAGAGACTAAAAGGTAATCCTGAGAAGAGATAAAGACTGAAAAAGATGACAAAGTGCCCAGAATGTAAAGGGTTTAGAACTGTTCTTTGGGAAATGTCTCACTTTAGAAGAGAATTCTATGTCATAGAACCTAAGAGAATTCACCCCAAAAGAGATTATCAAAAAATATCATCAAAAGCCACAATGATATTAATAATGAGGTTACAAAAAGATGATTGGGTTTGGCAGCTGTATTGTATATATTAGTTGAATCTTTATCAAAATACTACAGAATAGTGTTCCCAATAAGCTATTGAGTTGTAGCAATTATGAATCTTTTTACTTTTCATCTGTGTGCATCATAAAGATCTGAGAAAAAGATGAGATTCAGTTTGCGAATTAACAAACTATTATGAAGGTTGACAGATGCTTACCATGATCATACAAAGTACACTGAATTCTAAACAATAAGGGAAGTTGGACAATTCTCATTAGCATAAACCATAGCATGATTCTAAATACTGTTTTTTAGAAAAGATTCAATTTCTCCCCTCAAGAGATGACTGAAGCATAGATTTGAGGGTATAAGAATCTGTATGAGTCATACATCCCCCTTCTTGTTAGACTTTATTTTGCACTAAGGATCTTCATCCATCATACCAACTGGTGGGGAAAAAGATCCAAACTTGCAAATCTATGATTAAAAAAAAATTCTGACTTTTCTTCATCTAAATCAAGCTCAAGTCATTTTTAAGGGTCTAAATGTCTTCATGTGTAAAAGGAGCCTTCCCACCATACTGTCAGCTGCTGAGAGCAAGCACCACGTCTCATTTTATTTTTAATCCCCACTCCTTTGCATGATATTTTATGTAAGTTGGTTTACTGAATAAGAAGAATGCTTTAAAATTGTTTTGGATCCTGGTTAAAATATTCAGCATTCAAAGTTCTGTCATTTACTCAAAAAATTTTAAATGCTTTTCAACCTCGGGTAATACCCAGATACGTTCAATGAATGCTATAGCATTAGCAAGCTCTAAATCAGGGCTCGAATCCAGCAGTCTTACTGTTTTTGCAAAGTTTTACTAGATCAAAATCATACACATTCATTTATGTTTTGCCTATAGTTAGCTGTTTCAAACAGTAGAGTTGAATAATTGCAACAGAGACTATTCAGCCTAAAAAGCCTAAAATATTTATCATCTGGCTCTTCATAGAAAAAGTCTGCTCTTCTGTGATATAGACTGTTGTTGAATTTTGAGTCCCAAGAAAGCATAAGGGACAAAGTCCAGCTAGGTCCCTGAAGATATGTTTAACACATGAGTAATGCTGCCATTTTGATGATACTGAATCTACCTTGCAATAGACTGGTCTCAGTGGTCAGAAAACATACTCTTCTTTAAGGACCTCCTTTATCTCCTTTATATCCAACAAGCTGCTACAATGAGATTCTAATAAGAAAAACTCAATCTTCACTCCTAAACACTGGTAATTCAGTCGTATCTGCAAAGTAGCCCAGATCACATTGTAAAAGCTACTTTTGCTTGACTAATTTTGCTTCACATTCAGGATCAAACTATGGTCTCAGGAACAACTCTAGGACATACTTGTAGAAGTACATCTGGTATATTTAAATAATACACCTATTTGTTATTGGCACCTTTTAAGACAATGGGATCCTCAAAGGATCATCTTCCTAAATCCGTAAATATGTTTAACCCAAATTGTACTAAATGGAAATGGTCCAAGCTGAGCAAAGTCATCTACCCTCAAACGAACTTTAGTCTTTCTGTAGAATAATAGGTGGTAAATGCAAACTTCCAAGTATTTTTTCCCAGTACTCCTCATCACTTTCCAATCTGACTTTGAAAAAAATTAAATCACAACAAGCTTAAATATTTAGTGACACATGGTCTGTGCAAGACAAATGCAAGTAGACATAATTCACATTGGTTTCATGATATCATTCTTTTTCCTTGTAGATTCTTTGGAGATCAGTTACAACCACCAATGATGCTGAAGGCTTGGAGGCCTCTCACTACTGATCTTGTCAGATGAATGTACAGGCTAAACTCTAGTAGCAAGGGGAAGAAGTCAGTGAGTATGTATACCATGCAGTTTTCACCCAAAGAATCTGTATAAAATAGCAGTTGCCTTAAGTTGACTGGGCAAAGTATTTATCAATTAATGATAGATCAACTGCTTCAGATAAAAGCTGGTAATTAATGAGTCATTAAGGCACATTCTTGACAAAGATGGAAAACTCATGAGCCATTCAACATGCCCAAAAAGCAATCTTCCAGTTATGTGGCAGTGCTTAAATGCACTGCTAATTTCTGGGGCCTGCCATTTTTAATAGTACTGAGATGAATGACAAAGAATTTATGAATGCAAGTCTATGTTGCCCATTACACAAGCCTTCTCCTAGAGAAGTGAACCCTTCTAAGCACAACTCCTAATAAGCAGAAATTAAATGCTAATGTCCCATGCCACTAGATGAAAAGAAAAAAAAAAGATATGCCTAGGGGGAGGGAAAGAGGGGATAGATAATTTGGTTGCATATAAATAGTGTGAAGGAAGAGAGACAGGCATCTATTTTAAGCCTTTGTGGCCTGGGAAACCACATTCCCTATGCTCAAAGCCAGGAACCCTCTTACACAATAACTCAGAAACCCCACAAGTGCCTGGCTAGGAGGTCTGCTTCCTTCAAACTACCTCTTGGGCTAATCTTGGAAAAAGTCATGGATCACCCTGCAGCTCTGACAGAATTCTTACTTCCCACCTAAGGATTATGATTAAAGCCATCAGCTAGAGTATATCAGGAGGAAGCCAACACAATCCTGTCATTGTTTGTGTTTTTTATAGCTTATTGTTTAAAAAATTTGGAAATAACTGGACTCCTTGTGGCAAACTTAAGATCTCCTACATGAACTTGGCAGGCACTTCTCCCAGAACAGATTTAGAAAACAAATTTAAGATAGTGTGCTCTGTTCAAGGGAAGCAATAGCAAACCAGAAAGTCTATCCTGATATGTTTTCCCCTGTGTGTGTCCCTCCAGTGTCTTGTTTGACATTTATAGTGGGTGATTTTGATGAAAAGTCAATTGATTCCAATTTTCCAACTAACCTTCAGACTTTCTACACAGAATCAAAGGAAGGAAAACTCACAGTGTCTCCTGTTTGATTTGTCTCTGAATTTAGGCTGAGACTTACTCAGAAAGGTTAATGTGCTTTGGCTAGTAAATAATGCACAAAGTACAACAATATGTAAACTACAGAAAGTCATTAAAAGCTACTTTTGACTTTAGCGGAAAGTGCTCATGCCCCCATGTCAATCAATCAAAACTAGATTTTTGAGTGGATGGAATGCTTCTTGTTTGTTTCAGTCCTTAGACATTGCCTCTCCAGAGTCTTATCTTTAGGGCTGACTTTAATCAGTAGAGGACATTGATAAGAAAGATGAACCAAAGTAGGATTCCTCTAAGAACTTGAAGTCACATTTGGGTAAATGCCCAAAAGTGGGATTGCTGGGTCATAGAGGAGCTCTATGTGGAGTCTTTTGAGGAACCTCCATACTACTTTCCAAAGTGGTTGAACAAGTTTACACTCCCACCAACAATGAAGTAAGGTTTCCTTCTGTCCACATCCCCTCCAGCATCTGTTGTTATTAGAGTTCTTGATTTTTGCCATTCTAACTGGAGTGAGGTGATATCTTAATGTTGTTTTGATTTGCATTTCTTTTATGGCTAGGGAGGTTGAGCAGTTCTTCATATGTCTATTGGGCAGTTGTTTCTTTGAGGATTTGTTGTTAGGGGATTTAATTTTTTGAGTTTCAAGTATATTTTAGATATGAGACCCTTGTCCATTGTATGGTTAGTGAAGATCTTCTCCCAATCTGTGGGCTTTCTATTGATCTTGCTAGCTATGTCCTTTGCCATGCAGAAGCTCTGCAACTTCATGCAATACCATTTGTCCAACCTTTCTTTGATTTGTTGTGTTTCCGGGTCTCTATTAAGAAAATTTCGGCCTGCGCCAAGGAAACCTAGGGTTTCTCCTATTCCATCCTGTAATGTTTTCAGTGTCTGCTTTGACTCCGAGTCTTTGATCCATTTGGAGTTGATTCTGGTGCAGGGTGATAGATAAAGATCTAGCTTTAGTTTTCTACAAGTAGTTAACCAATTTTGCCAGCACCATTTACTGAAGAGGCTGTCTTTCTTCCATTCTATTTTTTTAGCTCCTTTATCGAAGATTAGATGCTACCAGCATGACTATGTTTATTGCAGCATTATTTACTATAGCTAAGATATGGAACCAACCCAGATGCCCCTCAGTAGATGAATGGATCAAGAAAATGTGGTATATATACACAATGGAATTCTATGTCTGCATCAGAAAGAATGACATTGCCCCATTTGTTAGGAAATGGAAAGACTTGGAAAAAATTTCATTAAGTGAAGTAAGCCAAGCCCAAAGAAACATAGGTCCCATGGTTTCCCTTATTTGCAATATCTAGTACATGTATGAGTCAAGCAGAAAAGGTCAGATAAGGTGATGTTAGGAAAATGAACCCTAAGATATGTATTCAAATGTTTTCTTTCTTTCATGCATTTGTTTCTAACGCATTTATAAGATTATTTCTTTGTTACTTTGTATGTCCCTCCCCCACAGTATAACCCCTGCTTTCACTGTATTTGATATGGTTATAATTTGTGGAGGGGAAGGGGAAAAACAAGTCGTTTAAATAAGGATACAGGTGAACCTGTTGCAACAATGAGAAGTACAAGTTGTCATGTCGAAAACGAACTTTACAACTTTGGTGGGGGGTGGGGGCGGGGGGAGGACTAGGTGGAGGGGGAGGCTGGGAAGGGATGGGTAGGGGAAACAAAGGAGGAGGCTACAATGCTTAATAAGAAATGTACTCATTATCTTGCCCATCTAATTGCAACCCCTCTGTACAGTATTTTCACAATAAAAAATAAATAAAAATAAAAAAAAAGAACTTGAAGTCACCATTGAAAAATGTGTTTTAGTGTGAAGGGAAAATTCAGCAATTAAATAAAATAAATTAAAAACGATCCAAGGTCACTGACACATACAGTGGAATACCAACAATTCTATAACGTTATTTTGTTGTAGAATGAAAATACGTAGAATTCTTCTAGGCCTTGAAAGTGCATGTCCCACCTGAACTGGTTCTATAAATCTGCCAAGTAGAGAACAGGTGTTCTTATTTCTTGTTCTTTCAACTTCACATACCATCTTAAAATGAACAAGCAGGAAAGGTGCTTTATATTGATATTCACTAGTTCCATCAAATGTATTTGCCTCTAGGGGGCATTTCAAGAGACTGCAAGGAAGACTATCTCAGCTATTACAGGTGTCAAACTAAATGGTTCAGGGCACAGGTATTAGATTGATGATAATACAGGAAAAAGAAAACAATGACCCACTTTAGTGGAGCCAGCTTTGTTATGACGACAATAAAATGTTCAATTTTTTTTATTGAATTAGGAAGTAAGGAGCATGATTTGAACATGATAGATAGATAGATAGATAGATAGATAGATAGATAGATAGATAGATAGATATAGATAGATATATGTATATAGATAGATATATAGCCTATGCCTAGCATGTATAAATCCCTGGGCTCAAAGTCCAGCACCACAATAGGAAATTTTCTGAAGGATCTCTGATTTCTTTTCACCTAAAATAAAAGCCACTAGGGCTAGAATACAGAGGTTGCATTAATTCTGAGTAAGGATAGATGAAACACTTAACTTTGATGGAAATAATCACCTCCCATTTTTTAAAGCAGAATTCATTTGAAAAAAAGGTGCTATCATACTAGGAAATTATCACATATAAAAAGTGATAACTCTTTTGAATGACCTCTTCAAAACCCAAAATTAATATTGTGATTTAGTCTGTTACCCCAGCTTTATTATCTTCCTGATTGTTACCCAATGTGTTCATTATCTCACTTTGTTCTTCTTTAATACACTTTATATTTCCCTAGTGCCTTTTATCTCCCAGCCTGTTGCAAACATCAATTAACTAAGCTAACCAACATCTCTGTGTGGGTAGAAGAACCCTATTATCCTAATTTGGAAGCTTGGAAAAGCAGGTTAAATGAGGTCAGGTCACTTGGATAGCCAATAGTAGAGATAGAAATGGTCTCGCAATTTATCAGGTTATCTGCTTTAACGAGCAAGCCATAATGATGTCCAACATCTAATCTTTGTGTCTCTACACTGTGTAGAGTGAGCACATCAATAATAAAAGTCAAATTTCCATAAGAATCCATTTATGCTTCTAAAACAAAAACCAAACCCCCGAGGATATCAGTTTCAGCTCTTATTTTTCCTCAGGCAATTTTAGCAACTGAGAGAGATCTGATGAGGACAAAGTTCATATACTCAAACCTGTTAAAAGGAATGAACTCTTAAAAAAAATATAAAAGACCAGAAGCAGTTGGGATTCACCTTTGCTAATCATAATAAAAACTATCTTTCATCAAGCCCTGGAACTCATAGTATTAGCTGGTGCTATGTGCATTTTCTTATTTAATGCTAACAATTCTATGGGGGGGGCAAGGAGGAGGTTCTTATTCCCACTGGAAAGATGAAAAAATTAAAGCACATGGAGATTACAGTGAATTGTCAAAGGTCAGATAGCTAAGAAGCAAAGGTACCTGGACTCAAATTCGGACATTCTGTCTCCACAGCCTATGTTCACAACAGCTTCACAGTAATCGCCCTGTTGCTTGGGTGAGATGACCCTCACTGTTTCCATTGAAAACTGCATGCTCTCTCACCAGGCAACATCAGTAAGCAAGTATGGTCTCCACACTACATACTGCACCAGAAAATCTGATGGACAAAAGAAAGTAGAAGGTGATGCATCTTTTCGCTTCATATGCCTTTCATCAGATAAGATGTTAGATATCATAGATAGATAGATAGATAGATAGATAGATAGATAGATAGATAGATAGATAGATAGATAGATAGATAGATAGATCTATATATCCCATATTGTAGATCTGAAGAGAGTGAA